TATTTTTAAACATCAGACAATACTTGACATAATTTACAATTGATTTTTAGATTTTAGTCCTGAATGTGTTTTAACATCAATGTTTGCTTTCTGGACTTAGAATAAGTGAAATACAAATATGACCACACATATGTACAAAGGCTCGTATTACATCAACACCCATTTTAATTAGACAAAAAATGTCCAAAAATATTGACACTCATGGAAATGTTTGAACAGGCTTTTCCAAAATAAATAAGCTATAATTTAAGAGGATGTCTTCTTTGAAATAAGCATTTTTGAAAAGGTTCTATACTATGTGAAGTACACGTAAACTGGTAATTTTAGAACACTTAAAAGAGGTTATGTCCCCTTAATAGGTTTACAAACAGTATGACACTACTACCAGACATGTTGTTTGCTCACTGTCTCCCTTTATTTAGCCATTTACGTGTGAAATTCTATTTACTCAATCACTTCCCTAATTTCCACAACAAATAATCTTCGAAATGTTCTACTCCATTTCATGTCATTTTTTTCTGTTTTTGAGTGCGTTTTTTTTTGTTGTTTTTTTTATAGAATGAACATGGGGTTTGGTTGCTGCAGGTTCAGAAAATGATATAAAAATATTGTATGAAACCTAAAACTGAAGTTCAAGTAAAGCTCATCAAAGTCAATCAAACAGTGAAGTCAAACTTTAACCAGTATAATAATTGTATAATTTCGCTTTACACACAAATTATAATACAGATTCAAAAAACTGTACTGGGCAACTGGTCAGTTCAAATTGATTTTACAGCAGGAGAATTTTCATGATTTATTAATTTGGTGTTGTCTTAGGTAATACAAATTCACCCATTTACCTATTTGCTATTTTTGCATAATTATAGGGAGGGGTGGGGGTAATGATATTGACAACACATGGAGAGACTCATAAAGTCAGGTCTTTACTATGGTATAATGATCCCTATGACGGACTAGTAAATTTAACATGAGTTGTCACAAATAGACCAGGAAGTGTTACTTCTTCAAAAGAACACGAGATCAACCCCTAATGCTGGTGGGGTTTATATATTAGATGAGAAGTTTTGTTCAATTTTTAAGTTTTGAGGATTGTTGTCTTTTTGTCTTATATCTTTTGACCATGGCACTTTTTGAATGTCAAGTTTTTACTCTTTTATCTACAGCTATAAGAAATTTAGCTAGATATTAAAATCAAAATTACTCAAGTGAATTTTTTTTAACCTTAAGCGGCCTTTACATAAGTTTCACCCAAGTTATACTTGAGCAATTCATATTTCAACACCTCCACCATGTAATATGGCAAAACAAAATAGATGTTTGGGTTCAGGGTCTGCTCCTTCAGAAAATACGATAGGTTAAGGATTTTTGTTAATTTTTCATTTTTTTACCATGAGGGACCACCAGTAACTTTGTCAAGATTCACTATTAAAAGTGCCAATTTAAAACTTCAGGGTAGTATTTTGAGGCATATAAAGATAAATGAAGAATGTGTCTATGGGACACAGATGATCCCCCTGCTTGCATATAAGGTTATTTAGGGCATAACAGTAAAAGTGACACCACCCAAATTCAACTAGATCTGTGTTTTGTGGTAATTAAAGCATTGTGTATAAGTTTCATAACATTTGGTTGAGGCAAACTTAAGTTAGAGAATAGAAACCAATTTCAGGACGTATGTACGGACAGACGGACATACAGACAGACAAGGGTAACACTCAATGCCCCCTCTGGTCAAAATGTTTTGACCACCAAAATTTTACTAGGAACTATTCAATTTTGATATTTTGCAATAGAAATAATTGTGAGGACCAGCAGGTTTTCTTCATGGACCATCAGGTTAAAAAAGATTTCAAGAACTCTGGTATTTCAAATTCATCTCGATTCTGACGGTATCATAGGGTTATCATCAGTATATCTCTGGTATAAAGAAATCCATTAACAAAAATATCTACAAAAGTTTGTTTATTTTACTTTCTGGCATATTGTTCTATAGTAAGAACTTGTTTCTGCAAAATAAACTTTCTACACTTCAAAAAGTATAGATCAGAGATAAAATGGAAGTAAACACAAACAACTGATACAAAAGTAATGAAATTATGGCGTCTCATAACCCAAATTTGTTGATAGGAAATTTTTATATAAGTGACTTGATTTTTTCTTTAACGTCATGTATATGAAGAAAAGGAGATGTTTAAGGTTTAAATTTAAATCAATGAAACAGCAACCCAACACAACATTTTACAAATAAGATATGGGTTATCATATTGTTTTTATCAATCATGAAAAGTCTTAGACAAGCTATATGAATGGGTTTGATTTGAGTAGGCATTCATACTTCTCCCACTAATGAATATGTATGAATGAAATTAATATATAACAATCGATAAGAGATATTCATCCACAAACACTTTTTCGGTACGTGTGCATAGATATTAATGATTTTTTCACTTATATATATATATTTCTAACGACAAAACATTTTCATATTATTTATTTTATATGTTCTTAAAAAATATTTTCATGAGTATTCATTGAAGAAATGAATTTATAACAAGCGATAGAGAATGTTATTTTGCAATCGATAATATTCGCGTATTTATACGAAATACGTTCGAACAGTTATCAGTCAAAAACGCAAGTCACGTGGGTAGAAATGTCTGCGGCAACATAACACCGGAATGCCTCAAGGTCATCCGCTGTAAAAATTAACATGTTTCTAAATTTGTGGAGGATTTTTCTGTAACATCTGTAACGTTATAATAATATGTGTGAGCTTTTACTCAAGAATTGTTATGCTAATATTATATTCTACTGCCATTTTAAATTACCACAACAGTGGAGTCAGCTCTTATAAGAATCCACTTTAATTCCAAACGGAAAGAGATCCATTTGGCACCCAGCCGGGGGCCCATGGAATAGGCTGTAATGTGTCTTTGTTTTTTCGTAGAGTAAGGGTGTCTTATGGAACTCCGGTCTTCCAAACTTTCAAGAAAGATTATTTTTATTTTATTTTTAAATTCTGAAATGCTGGTTCATTTTTTTCTCAGTTTTGAAACTCTTCTTCTATTTTATTAGGCCATAATACAGTATACTTAGGTTTAGGGTTTCCCTCAATAACCATGTCCCTAAATAGTCTCTGTATAGACTCAAGGTAAAACAAATTGAGCAAACAAAACAAAAATATGCTTCATACCTGGCCACCTCCTATTTTTCTGAATCAGAACACATGCATAGATATATTTTTGGCTGGCCTAATATGTAATACAAGTTTTCACTAATTCACTTATAGTTCTCAATGATCACAGATATTTTATAATAAATCTCAATGATCACAGATAGTTTATAATGAATCTTGTTTATGTGGATTTATGATTGACAAAAACTGAGTTTATCTATTCTGGCCTGCGTTTCACAAAAATTCTTACGTCTAAAACCAATCGTAAGTTATGAACAATTTAGTATACTTACGATCTATTTTAGTCTTAAGATTCTTAGTGAAACACAGGCCAGGTGCACAGTTTGGTCAAATGCTTGCATATAATGCAAGCAAAGTGTTGGGTTTTTTTTAAATAATATATTTGATTTTTCACAATAAAGAAACTCAAAAAGTGATCTCAAAATTTTTTCTGTTGAGAAAAAATCTGTCTGGTCTGAATAATGTCATATACCACATGATTGGATAAAAAGCCATGGTATACTTTGTCAGCTGTTCCTTAAAATGAACTTGAAAACCTAAGGATTTATGCAACATTTGTAAAAACAATTTCAAACTTGAACATGTAAAGACATTTTACATGTAAACTATCAACATGAGTATCTTTATCAAAAATACTTCAGTTAAATCTTGATTTGAATGGATCATTTGTCTGGACAACTTTATTTTATTTAACATGTTTTCATTTATACTTTAGGGAGAGTATCAGGTATTGTTAAAAACCCAAACATCAGGGTCACAGTGAATTTTAGTAATAGATCAAAATCGTCTTGTGTTCAATAAATTCAATGATTTAATTGATGTTTTTATTAAAAATTCCCAATGTCCTTTGTAATCTTACTATAAATACAAATGTCCTGATTTCTTTGCCTTTAACAATGGAGTGAAATTTAAATCTAAAAATCTGAAATATATCTTGGTCCATAATTAGAGTTTTCATTTTTTGACATAAAAGGTTTCATACCTTTTTCTGCAACAAAATATTAGGAATAAAAATTGCATCCACAGTTTTTGCTATATAGCAATATTTAATCATTTACAATTTTTTTCCAATTCTTTTCTCAAAATTCTGAATTTTGTTATACAGTCTGCAATCTGGCATTTCAAATTAGAACATTTACTTGTGCACAAGAATTTTCCTTAATTCAACTAAATAGAGATTGGAAAGCTTTAAAATGACACCAAAAGATGAAGGAAACTTTAACCAGCTGATTTAATGTTCATGTTTAGGCAATGTTGCACTTTCAGTGATAATTTGCATCTTTTCAACAAAAACCCTCCACTATGAAATTGGAAAATATATTAAAATATATTACATTTAAATTCCATCAAATTATCCAAACTGAATTTTGAATGTTTAAGCAATCTATCTTTAGTCTATTTTTTCCACACTATTTCTATTCAAGTTAAAAAATAATTGTGAACACATATAGTATATATAAACATCCCTTTTATAATAACTAAAAGTGAAAATAAACACTTCATTGTAGGTGTCCAATGCAGAGTCCAAAGGGGCACCTGTTTAAACTGATAATTACATAATAACACACTGTTAATTGTAATTGACACTGTCATTCGAATCTTATGTATACCTGTAAAAAATATTTGTCATCTAATCTATGATCTTAAAAAACTATAACATACATAGGTAACCTATAAGGTGAAATTTTAGTCGAAAAAAAGGACTTATAACAGTACATGTGTCACACAATGTCAACAAACCGGCTTTCGTTTGATCTTATCGGACTGTCAATTTCAGGTGTGAAATACACATCTCGCTTACCTGTCGTCGTACGCAAAATCAGCTGTGAGCGTGTTGAGGTATAGAACCAAAGCCCAGAGACTTGTCAAACAAATAATATAGTCCATTCTTTTACAAGCTGGTCCATCGCTTTCTCCAGTTAAAATGAAACTCGTCCGGTAGTTGTATTTTCCGCGCGCATGCTCAAATTTCATTATATTCGATGAACTGTGACCCAAGAGCAGTTTGTCAATATTTATTCAAGTTTCAATTTAAAGATCTTTTAAAAGCTTTCACCTCTTACAAACGTGAAAAGAGATTCGCAATGAAACCTCAAAAATGTATTAGTTAAAACCGAAATTACAAGGTAGTACTTAGATAGGTGTAACAATTCGAGACAGTTGCTTTTTATCATAAATGTATAAAACATAAAAAGATTTTATTCATTTATGCATTTTTGTAAAATCTGAATTATTTGTTTTCAAATGAGAAAGTCATTCATTTAGAAAATTATTTTGTTCTCCATAATTATATTTTGTATATATCGTTATTTTATTGTTGTGAATTTTCTATATATTACGCTAGAATAAATACAATGAATATATGTATATACAAATTCATTTCGGAGCATTCATTGTAAATTACTTATTTAGATTTAACAGGTGAATATTTTTTTATTTTTTTGTATCAATATTTTTTGTCATTGTTTGTTTGTCATTTCCATCAGTATGCCCGGTTTAGTAATAACCAAAATCATAACATTACAGGTTTGCAATAAATTTGGGTAAAATATATTTTATGATAACTTATTCCAAGGACGTATACGTATACTTGCTTATTATAAAATTAATATTTTAACATATTCTAAAATTAATATTATATTATCATTATTTTCTGTACTTTTGACAAAGCTCTTGCTCTCAATATTTTGTTTCCACATGTTTTGTCTTTTCGCATCTTTTTTTCTTTTGTCAAAGTATTGTCTGTCCATTTACGACTCAAATAATCTGGTGCACATTGATATCCTTTATTTACTATCTTCACTATTTTCGAGGAATTTCTAAAACCAAAGTAGTAAGTTTTCTTTCATTTTCTTTTCTATTTTAGGGGGTGGGAGAAGGAGTTACTTGCTTTAAGCCTTATTCTTTATGTGGTAATTTCCCCCCTTTTTATTTGTTTTATTTAGGATTTGTTGGTTAGGTTCTGGGGAATTTTTGTAGGAGTAGGATGATTAGAGTGTTTGTTTCTTGCAAGGTTATCTTGTGGCTCATCGGAATTTTTTAGTAAGAAATATTTTCTACGCAGAACACAAAGAAAATAGTAGTAAAAGATCAAAAATAATTCACTCGGACTCGGTTAGTCGTCGAAGTGAAAATAGCAAAATTAGAGATATATATTTGAATTAGATTGGGATGCTTTTTGTTTGTTTGGTAGTAGTTGTTTTTTGTTTGTTTTCGTTTGTTTTCGTTTTTTTTTTTCAAGGAAAAAAAGGGGGGGGGGGGGGTAAGTTTCATGTTTGTGTTCAGTTTCTTTTATTTATATTTTAAAATTGTTTTTGACAGAAAGACGGAATACCAATATACTAACAAGGAATGGAAAGTCGAATTGTTCAAATGTTACCAAGAATTTTAATAGTGTATGGTATTTAAAAAAAAAACATCGACGTTCCTGTTAGGGAAAAACCATATGATTTAAATATGAATAACTTGGCCGAGTAAGAACTGAAAATAAATAACTTTGCAGAAGATAGGATGAACATTAATATTCTGCCAAAAAAATGCAGGAAACATATGTGCACAAAAATTAACATATACTTCCGTGCGGCTAATCCGCGGAAAAATATAAGCATGCGTAGCAACAGATGAGTATAAAGGATTATTCCGGAAGAGTCCTCCTTCCCCCTCCCCTCCCCCAGAATATCACATGGTCGTTCCCTACATGTAACACATAACTATCACTGGAAAGCATCTAATTTTCATACTTTGATCAACAAACAGTTAATGGTGAAATGCATCCACGCCTTTGTAATTTTTACTTAGGATATATGAAATCATCTGAAGCAACATAGCTTCTGTATATTTTGTTCTTTTTGCCTTAAGCTAGTGATGGGAGAATAAATCAAAATGAACAAATCGTGTCAAAAGTTATTCAAAGGTCAATCTTGATGTACACTTCGCACACTGAGCTAAAGTACAGTCTCGCACCACAAAGATATAACTAAAAGACAATAAAATAATAAGTAGAAAGCAATATGAATATTAACTTCTGAAACATATATTTATGCATTTGTTTTGAAAATGATAATATAAATTATAATTTAATTTACATCTATCAACTCGTTGCTGTTGCTACATTGCATGAAAACATACAGGATCATTGATATGCAATTCTGACAGGGGACTTCTCATAATTATTTATTTGTTGTTTGCATTTTTTACGTTCAGTAGCAAAAAGTTCATGTATATTTTTGGACCTATTCAGAAGGATATTCAAAATGATGGTGCAAAATTGCAAAATTACATCATAAAAACAGATCAAAATAGTTTCCTTGATGCAGGTATTTTTATAGTAAAAGTCGCCATTTTTCTCTCATGGGACAATTAACATATTTAGTGCACTAAACGTTGATTGGCAGGTTATTGGACACAATTTGAATTTTGAAGAATGAAGTTCTGCAGACCAACAGAGCGAAAGTACATCCATAGGAAAGGGCGCTAGACCAAAGATCCTGGAAATGAACGAGAAGAAGACATGTCAGTTCTAACGAGAATGAAAGTTTAAATTCACTATAATCGCCTTAACTTGAAGAAAAAAACAGGACAGAAAGGTATTAGATTTATCGAAATGCAAATCATATCACACCTGAAAAGTGTAAATTCAGGATTAATTTATATAATATTGCATAGTCTAGGTTATATGCTAATATAATATTTTGTGGGAATGGCACGAAGTCTTAACCAATGTTAAACATTTGTGGATTTAGGAGCTAAACACTATTTGCAGAATGGAAGCTTTTTAACGTCATGTTATATCACTTGCACTAAATGTTAAATCCAAAACTTGCAAATAAAAAGTATAATATAAACAAATGTAGTAATTTATACCACCTAGACAACCAATATTTTGATATCATGAACAAAGTGCCAGAAACATTTTTTTTTTAATAAAAGATAATTATTCATATTCTTATTTTGCACATTAACAACTACTTGCTAGAGCAAACATTTCATTTTTAAAGAAAGAAAAAAATGTGTTTTATATAAAATTTAAAAAAAAGAATTAATCTGATTTTTTTATTTCATTTCTGAAACAATTAATTTTTTTCAAGAAATGAAAAAAAAAACCATGCCCCATCCCGATGCAAAAAGATAAATGGTCGATGCGTTATTGTTTATTCTATGCCTATAACGTACACACCTTTGTGCTTTAACTTTTTTATGTATGTCAGACTGGCATTTATACATCTGTTTGTCTAATACTCAGTACTATATTTTAGAAAACAAAAATGTTTAACAGAAAATGTAGGACAAAGTTTTGAAATAGACGAAATAAGTCTGAAAGTCCGCACCAATCTAAAGAAAAAGACACACGTCTTAAACATAAAATGCAAGTCTAAAGGAGTAGGACAAGCCTTAAGGAGAAGGTTCAAGTCGCCTGTCTTTAGGAGAAGATACATGCCTAGAGGAGAAAGTTCAAGCCGCCAATCTTAAGGAGAAGGTACAAAAAAAAGCCGCATGCTTAAAGGAGAAGGTTCAAGCCGCATGTCTAAGAATTAAGGTTCAAGACGCACGTCTAAATTAGGAGGTGCAAGCCGCATGCCTATCGCAGAATTTACAAGCCTAAAAGAAAAAGTGTATGTCTAAAGAAGAAGGTACAAGCCTAAAGGATAAATTGAATGTCTAAAGAATAAGATACTAGCCGACAGGATAACGTGCATGTAGTCTAAAGGAGAATGAACTAGTCTGTTGGAAGTCAAAAAGAGATGACATAAGTCTTATCTTAAGCTGAAAAAAAAACCATCAAAAATTGTATTTGTTTGCAGAAGACATAAATCCGGTTGAAAAGACACAAGACTGAAGAAGATAAAGGTACATACTGGAAGAGAAGACAAGAGTTTTAATAAGACTGTTTAATGGCTGCCATTTTTTCTTCAAACACTTCAAAGTTTGTTTGTTAAATTTTATTGCAGATTTACGATGGTTGCATTTGTTTCAAGTAGGCATGTAAAGTGAAAATAGAATTATTTGTAATACTCAAGGCCTACATGTATTGCGCGATAATTTTTATTACCCTATTCTTGAACACACCGCAAGTGTGGTAAATAAGTCATCAAATCAGAAACCCAAAGTGTCGCCGTCTAAACATTAAAACCTTTAATGTTTAAGTGTCACTTTAAAGCCCTATTCCATTATTGTTTCATTGCCAGGTTTCTTTGCTTTGGATTGAGTGGATGACCATAAAAGGTTTTATAAATCACGATTTAGCATGACATTGCAATAGCCTTAACAAGTCTGCAGTTAACAGCCATGTCGATTTCAAATTTCAACCATAAAATTTTTCAAATGTTATAATCGATTTTCAACTTGTGACACAGATGTCAACACTGAGGTTTAGTCGGACTGTTTTGTCATTTTTAGTGTCTGTTCGAAAGATAAAAATAAAGCCTTGTATTAACAAACAATCAATACTAAAATCTATACGATATTGTCTGAGATACTTCACAAATGTTACATAAACATGCAACACAAACAGAGCTATGGAATTCACGGACTTCCTCGGAATAACATAAAACTTCTCTACCTAATTAAAATAAGATCTGTGATTTCGCTATGCTTATAAAAAGTACCAACGAGTAAGTGAGTCAAGATAGATCTGAATTTTAATCAGATTAAAACTTTATCAACTGAACAGGATCGACGACAAAAGTTCGTAATTATATTCAAACCGTTTTATTTCAATAAATAGTAAGTACACACGAAGAATGTTATGTTGTTATCTAATATTTTACAGAAATACGTCATTCCACTAACTTCCATGTACTAAGTTTGAAATAATAAATTAATTTGTCGCTGGCGCTTTGCAGCATCAAAAGGTTTTACAGTACGTACAGTAAAAAATAATTTTAAAGGGACTGATGATAAAAAGAGAAAGATTGACAGTTAAGTCTCTAGGATAGACCTAAGAGATTCCATTATTATTTACCCTTCTTCGC